AGGAATGTGATTGAACAGGTTCCTCCAAAGCAGGGACAAGACTGCTGCCTGCAGAACACAACATGTCCTGTAGACTCAAGTAGTAATGTCTTGAGTTTAGCTTTATATACTCTGCAAAATCTGTTTTTGCAGCATCACTCTGCATGTTTTCCATGTCATCCAAGACATTGTCAGGCGCAAATGAAACTCAGTGTTTTGAAGCTTTGGAGTTGGCCTCTCTTCTCAGAGAGGGTGAACTGAACTCATGTCAGCAGGGAACTCTACAAATAACTGTAAGCAGTGCTCTTTGTGGCTTGAACAGGGATGTTGCCTTTCAACAGAGACAATCTTGATTCAAGACAGTCGAACTTTCATTGCCACCATGGTGGAATAATTTAACTTAGAACACCCTGAAAAGTTTGAATTGAGCCATTTCTAATACCGCTGATGCCATAATAACCCTGATGGCAGGGGGGGCTATGAAAGAGTCTAAATAGTTTTGATTTGTTTCAGGACCGCCCAGCCATGCAGCTGTACCAGCCAGGAGCCCGAAGCCGCAGCAGATTGTGTCAGTATGAAGACAGTGCTGCAAAGCCCTCAGAGCAGGGAGCGGATAAGAAACAAGAGAGTGAGACCAGTAATACGAAGGAAGAGGAGTGAATAGCATGCAAGCCTTATGTGTTCTGACTGTCTGTGCAGCCAAAGAGCATGTACTACGCAATCCAGAAGTGCCTTCGAAGCGAAGAAGGAACACAGGAAGCAAAGGGGGCATTGTGCTGTTGGATGTTTCTGGTTAAAAAAACCTCAGTTGTAGATTTGGAATTTGAAACGTGTTCTCATTGTATTTTCAATTATTTGAATTTATTTTCCCAGCATCTAACTACAACAGAGAAGAGAATCTTTGCAAAGTAGAAAGACTTTATGGCCTTAAGTATGATAATAAACGAGTCATGTGGTTAGGAGAGGATGACACCTGCATCTAAAGCCAGAGCTCTGCTGTAATGCAATCGGAGCCAGTGTTGGATGTACCTAAACAGAGCGAGCCTGGAGCTGCCTGGAGTTAACCCAGGTGTTGCTATGTTGTGTGGTGCTCCTGCCTGAGGCAATGAAAGCTAAATTGTGTCTGTCTAGCACCGAGACAGGCACTCAGGCTGGGGTTGTTGACGTCCCAGTGCACAGGAGCCCTTTGGCACATAAGGAGCAGAACATCTGGCAGTGCAGTAACTGTGTTAGGGAGGGAGAGACCTTCCTTTTCAGTGGTTCTCTGGATAAAGTAACTAAGTTGGAGTGTATGAATAAGCTGGCTTAATAGTGGAATATGCCTTGACAAATTCTTATGTAAAGTCTACCTACATTGAAATGCTTATTTTTAATCAAATGCAGCTGGTTTGGGCATCCTGTTCTTTTCCAGCATCTTCCCTTCTCCAGCGTCTGAAACATTTCCCAACTCCTGCCCTCGGAACTGCTTCCTCTTCCCTCATGCCTTGAAGTGTTGTTCTCC